GTCTCGGACGCCTGGGAAACCGAAGAACTGAGCATTCCCCCAAACCACACAAAAACAAGTGATAATCAATATTTTTCTGCATTTCGGAAGCCTCTTGGGAATGTGTTTCGGGTCGTCTTCGGGCGTCTGGTGGGTGGTTGGGGCCTCTTGGGGCCCTCGGGGGGCCGTTCGGCCGCCCTCCGGACCGATTTGGGCCCGCTGCCTGGGCCCCTCGTGGGCTTCCAGGAGCTCCCAAAAGCCCGGGGGACCTTCGACAAGGGCGTCCTGGAAGCCGCCGGGGCCAGGGATCCAGAGGGTCCCATTTAGGGGGGGGGCTCGCAGGGTCCCAGATTGCAGAACTATAGAAAATGAACACACACGCAACACACACACACAACTCACACAACACACACACACAACACACACAACACACATACACAACCACAACGCACAACACAACACACACAACACACACAACACACACACAACACACACACAACACACACACAACACACATAACACACAGCACACAGCACACAACACACACATTTAACATTATACTTATAACTAGATATAACTATTCATACAAGTATATACGCATATATGAGAGAGCGTGATCCACCGCCGCTATACTATAGAAGATTCCCCCCCTCTTCCTCCGGAACCCGGGGGTCGCCCCCCCCTCCGAAAATCCCCCCCCCTGTTCGAACACCCCCTCCCCCCCCTTCCCCCGACAACTCTCCCCCCCTAACCCCTCCCCCCCCTCCGCCCCCCCTTCTCCGGAAAACTGGGGAGGGGTCACTACCAGTTCGAATCCCCCTTCCCCCCTCCCCTTCAAAAAAACCGAGGGGGGGTCACTACCCGTTCGAACCCCCCCCCCTCGCCACCAGCAAAAGACTCCCAGGTCCCCACCACCGTCCTCACCACCGCCCTCACCGCTGTCCCCACCACCACCGTCCCCACCACTGTCCCCACTGTTCCCACCACTGTCACCACTGTCCCAACCAATGCCCCCATCACCGTCGCACTGCCCCCACTGTCCCCACCAATGTCTTTCACCACTGTCCTCACCACGGTTCCACTCCCCACGGTCCCAACTGTCCCCACCTCTGTACCACCGTCCTCACTGTCCCCTCCACTGTCCCACTGTCCCCACTGACCACGCCGCTGTCTCACTGAGCTGCCCCACTGTTCCCACCACCGTCCCTCTGTCTCCATTGTCCCCATCACTCTCCCCACTGTACCACTGTCCCGTTGTCCCACCACCGTCCTCACCACCGCCCTCACCACTATCCCCACCACCACCATCCCCTTCACTATCCCACTGTCCCCACCACTGTCCCGGTGTACCCTGACCGCTGTCCCCACCACCACCGTCCGCACCACTGTCCCACTGTCCCCACTATCCCCAACACTGTCCCACTGTCCCCACTGTTCCCACCACTGTCCCACCTTTTCCCACCAGTGTCGCACTGTCCCCACTGTCCCCGCCATTGTCCCCACCACGATCCCACTCTACCCACTGTCCCAACTGACCCCACCACTGTCCCACTGTCCCCACTGTCCCCACCACTGTCCCACTGCTCCCACTGTTCCCACTGTCCCCACCGCTGTCCCACTGCTGCCCTGCTGTCCACACTGTCCCCACCACTGTCTCACTGTCCCCACTGTCCCCACCACTCTCCCCACTGTACCACTGTACCACCACCGTCCTAACCACCGCTCTCACCACTGTCCCCACCACCACCGTCCCCACCACTGTCCCACTGCTGTCCCCACCACCGCCGTCCCCACCACTGTCCAACTGTCCCCATTGTCCCAACCACTGTCCCACCGTCCCCACTCCCCACCACTGTCGCACTGCCCCCACTGTTCCCACCACTGTCCCCACCACGGTCCCACTCTTCCCACTGTCCCCACTCCCCACCACCATCCCCACCATCGTCACCAGTCCCCCACCCGAAGTGGGAGAGGAGGGGGAGTCGATGCGGCGAGGGGGGAGGGGGGAGGGAGGGGGGGGGGGTTCGAACCGGTAGTCCCCCCCCCTGGTTTTCCACGAGGGGGGGGGGGAGGGGTTCGAACCGGTAGTGACCCCCCCCCCATTTTCATGATGACCAGGGGGGAGAGGGGGGCTGGAACCCCCAGTGACCCCCCCAAGTTTTCGAGAGGGGGGGGGGACGGGTTGGAAACCCCCAGTGGCCCCCACTCGACTATCTGCCAGCAACGGTAGAACACGCTCTTTCGTGTGTATATGTATATACTAGAACCACGCGCGCGCTTCGCGCGCGCTTAGGTTCTAGCGCAGACGCTGGCGACTGCAATGTCGAATGGTCTCGTCATCGATTCTTTCGTCCCCCTGTCCTTGGCCTCCTCCTCCTCCTCCTCCTCCTCCTCCTCCTCCTTCTCTCCGTGGCAGCGGCAATTCACTCGTTCCCCCCTCCCCCCTCGCCCACTCGCCGGAACGCGCTGGAATGATCACGCGCTGCGGTTTCCCATGCCAACGTCCTCGGACGTGGGCGCCCTGCCACGAGCGCGTTCCGGAAAGATGCTCCTGGAACGCGCTGAAAAGATATGGCCACATCTCGGGGACGCTCCCGGCACCGCTCCCCCAGCCTTTCCGGGGAGCGTCCACAGCGCTCCAGGAGGGCCCAAGACGCCCCCCAGGAGCCCCCAAAATGCGAAAGGATGGCCCAAGACGCTCCCGAGCAGCCCAAGTCAGCCTTCCAACGGCTCTCGAGGCTGACAGGTGGCCTCCAAGAGACCCCAAGAAGTCAGATGGGTATCACGGTCCGGCCCGAAGAGGCCAAAGTCGTATATGTTCAATGATCTTTTCAATGTTTTTGGCTTCTCGCGTTTTCGAGCTTCCAACGGTCCAAGAGCGCCGAGGAGCCTCCCAAGACCGGCCCAAGACCACCCAAGAGACCCTCAGGACGGCCCCAAGACGGGCCAAGAAGGCTCCAAGACTGCCGAAGAGGCGCCCAGCACAGCCCCAGACCACCCCAGAACAGGCCCAAGATGGGCCCAAGAGCGGGAGCAGGAGGCTTCCAGAGACCTCCGAGAGGCCTCCGGGACCCCCCAGAGGCCCCCAACACACCCCCCATCCTTGAGAGGCCCCAAAGAGACCCCGACGAGGCTCCAAGAACAGCCCAAGAGAGCTGCGAGAGCCGTTCCGAGAGAGCCCTAAGAGGGTAACATCGTTGATTTTCAATGGTTTTTCCTATGTCTTTCGCCTTCTAACGTTTTCCCGCTTCCAGCCCTCAAAGATCGAGGATTTGGAGAAAAAAAAACAGGAATTCCAAGAATTCCTTTTTATCATCAAACAGGAACTCCTATATACTCGGGGGTCCTACATATCCCCTGACATCTGGCCGGTACCGCGCCTCCCGGCTTCTTAACGTTTTCACGGAGTCTCCGAAGGCCCCGAGGAATCCAGGAATTGTGGATTTGGGTTGGATTCGCATCCATTCAGGACTCAGGACAGTATGCCCGGGCCCGGGCATACTGTCCACGCCATTCTGAGCGCGCGCTCAGGTTCTAGCCCAGGCCGGGGGGGCGCTGGACGATCTTGGACAACGCTATCAAGCACAGGCGCGCGACGGCATCTGAGGAGCTTCTGGGGCGTTCCGCATGCTTCGCCAACTGGCTGTTGGAGGCACCTCTTGGGTGCTTCTTGGGGGGGCGTCTGAGGGTCCCTTGGGGGCATCGGTTCTGCAATCTGAAGCCGTCATTGGCCGTCTTGGCTGCGTGGAGGCCCGACTTGAGGCCACCTGCGGCCAGAGTGAGGCAATCCGGAAGCCTCCCGGGGGCCTCCTGGAAGCAGTTTTGACGCATCGAGGGCACTCTTGGGCTATTTAAAACCTCTTGGACGTCTCCTAGGAGCCTTTTAGGCCCTCGGGAAGCTCCTGGGGTCCTCGTCGGACCACTTGGGGGCTTCTTGCGGCCTTCTGTGGGCCTTTTGGGGGAACGCTCTGCTGTTAGGTCGCGTTCCCCTTCTTGGGCCTCTCTTGGGGCTCTTGGGGCCCTCTCGGGCCGTCTTGGGCGCCTCAAGCACCGTCTTGGGGCCCTCGCGGGCCGTCTCGGGGCCCTCTTGGAGGCCTCTTCCTCTATATGGGAGCGGTATTGGAAGCCTCTTGGGCCGTCTTGGAGCATCGGGATGCCAAAAGGCCGACAAAAATTCAAACCCGTCAAAGCCCAATCGTAAAACGATGAGTTGTGCCTCTTGGGGCCACCTTGGGAGATCTCTTGGAACCTCGTCGGCCCTCTTGTGAGCTTCTTGGGGGCCTCGTGGATCCGATTGGGGGCCTCTTGGGACTTCCCGAGAACCTCTCGGGGTAGGAAGCTCGGATTCTCGGTTCGTGTTTCCCTTCCTGGGCCTCTCTTGGGGCCGTCTTGGGGCCCTCTCGGGCCGTCGTGGGCGCCTCAGGCACCGCCTTGGGGCCCTCGTGGGCCGCCCAGGGCCCTCTTGGAAGCCTCTTCGGCTATCTTGGAGCTGCCTTGGAGGCCTCTTCCTCCTACTCGTCCCCCTCCTCCTCCTCCCACTCCAGCTCTCTCTACTCCTGATCTTCCTCCTCCTCCTGCAGCGTGCTCCGGAAGGCTCCCGCCGGAACATGCTGTGCACAAGTGCTGTCACTGCTCCCGCCACCGTGCCCTGGGTGGTGGGTCAGAGGCCTCATGGGTGTTGGTTTGGATCTCGTGGTTGGCCTGTCGGGGACGTCGTGAAGGCATTTCGCAGCTTCCCAGTAGCCGTTTTGGGACCGTTGTGGGGCCTCCTCGGGGCTGTTTTGTTGCCTCTTTAGGCATCGTTTGGGCCTCTTGGGTGCCTCTTGGGGGCCTCCTGGGGCCTCTTGGGGGCTCCTTGGGGCCTCCTGGGGCACTCTTCAAGCGGGAGGGTCGAATTTTGGAGTCGTGGTCCCCCTCTTGGGCGCATCTTGGGGCCGTCTTGGGGCTCTGTTGGGCTGTCTTGGGCGACTCTGGGGCCATCTTGGGGCCCTCTTGGGCCGTCTTGGGGCGCTCTTTTTTTCCCCCGCAACAATGGCAATGACAGTGGCGCGTATCGCAAAAAGTCTCTGTGGCTACAAACGGGACAGCCCTGTGCACACGATGTTAATCCCGTGGGGATAATAAAGCTCGGAGTTCCAGGGGGGATAGTACTGCTTTCCACTTCGATTCGTACTTTCCCCATCATTAATGCAGTTCGGCCTCGCCGCCCCATCTCCCCCGACCCGTCATCCTCGCCTCTCAAGCGCCCCTCCAGCCGCATACATGCGTCTGGGGGCGACTCGAGGGGGACGTCACGGAAGGGGATGGCTTGCGCTAGGGGTCGGTTAGGCCGCCCCTGATCCTCGCCCGGCCCCGCACATTTGTCGCCGCGGCTCATCTACACCTGTTGTGCCACTGGGCTCCGAGGCGAGAGCAGACAGACAGACAGACTAAAACCGCGCCCAGACGGCGCATTGGCAAGAAAACTGCGGCAGGCGACGGCGTATCTAGGCACATGCAAAAATCCGCCGACCCTGTCGGCGTGTGGAAGAGGCTTCTCCGTCTGTTCCCTCCTCGTCGTCGTCGTCGTCGTTCCTTCCCCTTTCCTCACAGCGTCGTTGCTTCTACCCCTCTCCCAGGGCCTCCTCCTGAAGCGTGCCAGTCCAAAACGAAATTGAGCAACGTCGTAATTGAGTCGAAGGGAAGCGGAAGCCCCTTCCCTTTGATCCCTTCCCCGCCGGGGGGGGGGGTCCCGGGTTTTTACCCCGCCTCCCCGGGGAATCCCGGAGCCCCAAAAAGCCCCAAGACGGGCCAAAAGTGCTTCAAGAGGCCCCCAAGACGATCCAAGAGGGCCCCGAATCGCCGAATGATCTGTCCAAGACGCCTTGACGGCCTCCAGACGGCCCAAGAGGCCTGCGAGACGCCCCAAGAGGCCTCCAGGACCGTTCCCACGAGAGCCCCAAGAGGCACAAATCATGGATTTCCCATACGTTTTTCAAGGATTTTGGCGTTCTCGCCTCTTCCGCTTCCCCACGCGCCAAGACGGCCCAAGAGGCTCCCAAGATCGCCCCGACACGGCCCAAGAGGCCTCCAAGAGGGTCCCCAAACGGCCCAAAAGTGCCCCAAGACGGCCCAAGACGCCTCTCAGATTCACAAAAGGCCCCCAAAACGGTTCCACGAGAGCGCCCAGACGGGGGACCCGAACGGACATTTCGAGCCCTCAGCCTCGAGAAGCTCCCGAGAGGCCCTCCAGGAAGCCCACAGAGGCCCCACCTCCTGCTTCTCCTGCTCCCGCCCTTCCTCTTCCCACCGGCCCTCCCCTCCCACCACCTCCTCCTCGCCTCCTCCTACCCCCTCACGCCCCCTCCTCCTGCCTTCCTCTTCGCCGTCCTCCGCCCGATGGTCTGCCAAATGGGGGACCTCCCCCCTCTCGAAGCCTTCAGCACCCTTCCCACGAGAGCCCCAAGAGGCACAAATCACGGATCTCCCATGCGTTTGTCAAGGATTTTGGCGTTCTCGCCTCTTCCGCTTCCCCACGTGCCAAGACGGCCCAAGAGGCTCCCAAGATCGCCCCGGCACGGCCCAAGAGGCCTCCAAGAGGGTCCCCAAACGGCCCAAAAGTGCCCCAAGACGGTTCCAAGAGAGCGCCCAGACGGGGGACCCGAACGGACATTTCGAGCCCTCAGCCCCGAGAAGCTCCCAAGAGGCCCTCCAGGAAGCCCACAGAGGCCCCAAGAGGCTCCCGAGAGGCCCTCCAGGAAGCCCACAGAGGCCCCAAGAGGCGCCCAAAAAGCTACAAAACAAACTAGGAATTTACAAAACAACCGGGTATTCCCTCCCCTTCGACCTTGTCCTCATGCGCTTCTCCCACACTGAGCACTTTTCCTGTTGCGTTGTTATTTCTTCCCAATGACAGAACGCTGTCTCCAGGGTCGGCGGCATCGGCCGTAAGGCCTTCGCAATAGCTGAGATAATTGATTGCGCTGCAGGCGGCTCGGTGGCAGACCCGAATGTGCGTCGATGCGTTGACCAGCCAGCAGTCCGCGTAGAGGGAGGGGAAGGAGAGAGGGAGGAGGGAGCGAAGGAAGGAGAGGAGGAAACAACCAAACCATAGATAATTGCCATCCTGTGACAGCGGCGCGCCATTGCACTTCGTTCCCAAGGCGAGAGCGCCAAGGGCCAACTCTGCAGCGCGTGGCTCCCCGCGGCGACAATCCCACCTGATCTGAGGGCAACGGCTGCAGACCTGAAATGCAAAAGAAACATCCGATCGAACAAGATTCCCAGGAATCTGGGCTTCCAACCTGCTATGAGGGACTTGGGCCCGAGGAAGAGGCGATCGGCGTAAAGGTGGAGCTCACGGTCTCTAAATATTTCTTGGCGATACGCTTCATGCGACGCCGCTGCGACCTGCTGATCACCTGATGGTTTCCGGAAATGCCCGTGCCCGCACTCGGAGAGCTGCCGTCCCCATCCTTGTCCGACTGTTGCGCAGCGCCTTCCTCCGTCGCCCGACAGCTTTCCCCATTCGGGCAGTGGACATCTCTGCTGGGTGACCAATCCGACGCTGAGAAGAACGACGGGCGGTCAGAGGTGGGCTCCGACTTGGGGCGCTCGGCGACGGTCACGTTGTCGGTCCAGGGCGAAGGGCAATCCAAGAAGGAGCTCCTGGAAGTCAATCCGCGTGGCCATCTGGCCGCCACGGGCATCGCGCTGCTCGAACAAGAATGGCTCGAACCAAAATTGCGGCGGACCCCTTGAGCCAAAATGGCTACGGACCGTCTTGGGGCGCTCTTGGGGGCCTATTGAGCCGTCTTGGAACGTCGGACAACCGAAAAAGCTGGAAGGCCAAAATCGTTCGAACACTTCCGTAAAATTGACGACTTCGGCCTCTTGAAGCGCTCTGGAGAGGCGTCTTGAAGCGTCGTGGAATCCCTCGGGGGGTCTCTCGGGCCGGGCCTGTCGTGGGCGTCCTGGAGCGGTCTTTCGGCGACTCGGGGTTCGCTTGGGCCGTCTTGGGAGCCTCTGGAGGCCCTCCTGGACTATTTTGGACCTCCCCGGCCGCACCGTCCTTCCATGGGGGGTCGGAGGCAGCGGCCTCCGAGGCCCAGGACGCGGAAACCCGGTCCCCCCTATGGAAGCCGGGGCAGCTGTTTTCGGGTCCCGGGCCTGCTCCCCCGGGATATATATATATATATATATATATATATTACACATACATATATATATATATATATATATATATATATATATATATATGTGTATATGTGTATGTGTGTATATGTGTAAATGTGTATATGTATATACGCACACACACACACATATATATACACACACACGCGTAGCGACCGCGCCCTTAAAACACGATCTGGGATTTCATCAAAAGGCCCTTGTTGGATCCTCCGGAGACTCAGTCGTCAATCCTGGGGATTCCTTACGGGGCCCGGGCCCAAAACTGCCAAATTGGCCGGGGCGCGTCGCGTGGCCCGTGAAGCGCGTCGCGTGGCCTCGGGGTACTCGGGCGCCTTCTCGCATGACGTGCTCGGGCCCAAGAGGGCCAGAAGGGGCCCGCCAGACGGTCCACGAGGGCCCCGAATCGACGAACAACCGGTCCGAGACGCCCAAGGTGGCATCCAAGACCCTTGCCAGAAGGCCCCGAGGAGCAAAAACCATTGATTTTCGATCCATTGGATTTTACATGATTTGGGCTTTCCCGCATCTTCGGCTTCCCGACGTTCCAAAACGCCGCACGAGGTCCCCACGATCGGCCTCCCAAAACGGCCCAGGGGCTCCCAAGACGGCCTCAGGATGAAGCCCAAACGTGGGGCCCGAACTGACATTTCGAGCCCTCCGCCCCGGAAGTCCCTCTGGAGGCCCGAAGAAGCCCCCCAGAGAGTTTGAAGGGGGCTGGGAGGCCCAGCCAGCAGCTTCGCCTTAGGCGAAGCCAAACTCCCGCTCTGTTGTACCGTAGTAACGATAGTCCCAGTAGGAGAGGATGTGCCATCTCAAGCAGTAGGAAGATCCTTTTGGTCTCGATAGCGATTGTGTGCCTCGCAGTGAAGCATAATCATATTTGGGCGTCCGGCCGCTTGAGCCGACGCGGCCGCGGGCGCACGCTCGCTTCCACTCCTTGCGTCCCTCAGCTCGCTTTAGAGTCAGAGGCCCCAAAGAGGCCCCAACCCAAGAGGCCCCCAGGGGGCCCGAAGAGGCCCCCAAGAGGCTCCCAAGCGGCCTCTCAGAGGGCCGCCAAAACTGTCCCCACGAGGCCCCCGAGAGCGCTCCGAAGAGACCCCAAGAAGCATCCCTGATGACTCTCACCCACAATCCAAGCACGGTGGCGGGATGAGCCGAAGGCCATTGAGTATCCGCCGCCCCCTGCTTGCAGGGGTGCACGGCGTGCTGGACGATTCAGGTTTTGGTTTTGGTTTTTTTTCTAAAGTGGGCTTCGGCCCGTCCCGCCGGCCACCCGTAATTTTCCCCAAATCCGTCTGTCAATGCCTTTGTTGCCCCAACTTGGCCCAAGATGGCCTCCAAGACGGCCAAGATGGCCCAAGATGGCCTCCAAGATGCCTCTCAGACGGCCAAGATGGCCTCCAAGACGGGTAAGATGGCTCCAAGATGCCTCCAAGACGGCCCAAGATGCCCTCCAAGACGGCCAAGATGGCCCCAAGATGCCTCCAAGATGGCCCAAGAGGCCTCCAAGACGTTCTCCAGGAGAGCCCGAAGAGGCCAAAATCATTGGTTTTCCTTAGGTTTTTGAAGGTTTTTTGCGTTTTCTTCTTTTCGGCCTTCCGACGGCCCAAGAGGCCCCCAAGATCGCCCAAGAGGCCTCCAAGAAGGCCCTATGACGGCCCAAGGGCCCCCCAAGACGGCCCCAAGAGCGCCCCAAGACGGCCCAAGAGGCCTCCAAGACGCCCAACATGGCCTCCAAGACGGCCCTGAAGCGCCCCAAGAGGGCCCCAAGACGGCCCAGAGAGGCCCCCAAGACGGCTCCAGACGGCGTCAGACGGACCAGGAACGCCCTAAGACGGCCAAAGAGACCCCCAGGAAGCCCCCAAAGGCCCCCAAGAGGCCCAAGGAGGCCCCCAAGATGCCTCCAAGAGGCCTCGAAGAGGCCCCCAAGAAGCCCCCAACAGACCCCAAGGGTGCCCCAAGAGACTCCTAACAACCCTCATCCTCCTACTCTATTTCTTCCTCTTCCTCTTCCTGTTCATAATCATTCTCTCCCATGTGTTCCCCGAAAGCTTTCCAAACCGACTCGGGGAACTCATGGTCCGATAGCTTGGCCAAGCTCTAGTCCAACTTTCGGCCACATCGGCGTTTGCAAAAAGGCAGGGGGCGGCGGTGATTCGCCGTAGGCGTCTTCGATCCGCCGCCCCCTGTCGATTCATTGCAGGGGTGCCTGGCGTGCTAGACCCTTTCGGTTTTGGTTTTGGTTCTTTAACTCCCCCTGGGCCTCCGGCGCGTCCCGCCGGCCTAGGACCTCAATCCGGAAACAAATCCTCCAAGATGGTCCAAGACGGCCTCCAAGATGGCTACGTTGGCCAAAGATGGCCTCCAAAACGGGTCTAAGATGGCCTCCAAGTCCGCCCAAGATGGTCCTTGACGGCCTCCAAGACAGCCTAGGAGAGTGCAAGACGGCCCAAGAGGCCCCCCAGAGGCCTCCAGGAGGGCCCTAAGAGGCCCAAATCATTGATCTTCCTTAGGTCTTCGGAGGATTTTGGCATTCGCTTCTTTTCGGCATTCCGACGGCTCAAGACGGCCCAAGAGGCCCCCAAGATCGCCCCGAGATCACCCAAGAGGGCTCCAAGAGGGCCCCATGACGGTCCCAAAGGCCTGCAAGACGACCCTAAGAGGGCCCCAAGACGGCCCCAGAGACATCCAAGACGCCCAAGATGGCCTCCAAGGCGGCCAAGAGGACCCCAAGTCGGTTCAGAGAGGCCCCCAAGACGGCTCCCGACGGCGTCAGACGGGCCAGGAACCCACCAAGATGGCCGAAGTTGGCTCGAAGCTGGCCCACGAGGCCTCCAAGAGGGCCTCCAGGCCAGAAAAGGCCAATAACACAGATTTTCCAAAGGTTTTTGAAAGATTTTGACATTTGCTTCTTTTCGGCCTTCCGACGGCCCGAGACGGCCCAAGAGCCCCCAAAGATCGCCCAAAGATCGCCCAAGAGGCCTCCAAGATGGCCCCAGAACGGCCCAAGAGGCCCCCAAGACGGCCCCAAGAGGCCCCCAAAACGGCCCAGGAGGCCTGTAAGACGCCCAAAACAGCCTCCAAGACGGCCCTGGAGCAGTCCAAGAGGGCCCCAAGCCGGCCCAGAGAGGCCCCCCAAACGGCTTCCAACGGTGTCAGACGGTCCAGGAGCCCACCAAGACGGCCGAAGATGGCCCTAGGATGGCCCAAGACGGCCCAAGAGGCCTCCAAGAGGGCCCCCAGGAAGGCCCGAAAAGGCCAAAATCATTAATTTCCCATGAGTTTTTGAAGGATTGTGGCATTTGCTTGTGTCGGCCTTCCGACGGCCGGAGACCGCCCAAGTGCGCCCAAAGATCGCCCAAGAGGTCCAAGACGGCCCCAAGAAGCCCCCAAGACGGCCCAAGAGGCCTCCAAGACTGCCCAAGAGCCCTCCAAGACGTCCTTCGAGAAGGCCCGGAGGGTCAAAATGGCCTCCCGACGGTCAAGATGACCTTCAAGATGCCCACGTGTTCCCCGAAGGCGTTCCAAACCGATTCGGGGAACACATGGTCCGATAGCTTGGCAGGTCTGGCCTCAACGTTCGGCCACATAGGCGCTTCCAAAAAGGCAGGGGGCGGCGGAGGAGGAGCGTTGCGAGGATCAGGAGGATGAACGCAAGGGAGAAGAGGAGGACAAGGGGGAGGAAAGACGATAACGAGGAGGGGGAGGGAGATGAGGAGTAAGCAGGCAGGAGGATGATGAAGGGGAGGATAAGAAGAGGGAGGAACATGGAGGAACACTACGGCCGCCGCCTCCGCCTAGCACCGAGCCCGGCCGCGGCTGCGCCCCGCCTTGCGGCCCGAAGACGCGGTCCCTGACGAGCCGGATGTGCTCGTCCTGTCGGGGAGGACGAGGAGGGAGGAAGAATGAGGAAGAGGAGGGAAGATGACGAGGGAGAGCATGAGCATTGATGAAGACAAGGAAGTCGAGGAGGAGGAGGAGGAGGAGGACAGAAAAGCTGGGGCTCATGGCGCAACCATAGCGTCCCCCAGGTGGACCCCGCCCCCCCGGACCACCCGCGACGCGCGCGCGGGGGTATACGGGCGCATACCCAGGGGTACGGAAACCCTAATATCCGTCTGTGGCTTCTGCTTCGGCCGGACCAGCAAGCGGGGCCCAACTCGAAGAAGCGCGGAGAGGGGGGGGGCGTCCACCCTCGATAGGGGTGCGTCCCAATCATCAGCCCCCGTGGAACGAATACTCTCGAGCTTCCATGCTGTTCTCAACGACCTGATGTTTTTCGGTAGCATCTCGGGGATTTGATGCAAAAGCGTCGCCTGTGAGCGCAGGTGGCAGAGGACGCTCTCCGAGGTCCCGCGCCTGGGCAAGCGCCGCTGGGCCCCCAAACCGCCCGCCTCTGCCCATGGATCCACCGCAGGCTGGGCGCAGCCAAAGCCACGCCGCCACGGCCCGCCCCCGCGGACCACCCGCGATGCCGTGGGCGCAGGACACTGCCCGAGGTCCAGCAAAGGGGAAACGCCACTGGACCCCCGGACCGCCCGGGGGCTTCGGGTTCCCCCCGGCAGCCGGTCCGACCGTGCAAGAGGGGGGGGGAGGGAGGAGGCATGAAGGCGAGGAGGAGAAGGGGCAGCAGCGGCCCAGCAACCCAGCAATGGCG